CGGCACCAGCAGCAGCAGCAGCAGCAGCAGCAGCAGCAGCAGCAGCAGCGCCTGCAGCAGCAACAGCAGCAGCAGCAGAGGAGACAGAAGAAGGAGATAACTCCAGCAGCATCGAAATGCTGCGGGTGTGGGCCCTGGGGGCCCTCGAGAGCAGCAAAAGTGCTGCTGTCCCCGTTGCTGTTGTGGACACAGGTGCAGCAGCAAAACTGTCTCCTTTTTATTATTCATTTATTTATTTATTTATTTATTTATTATTTATTTATTTATTTATTTATTTATTTATTATTTATTTGTTATTCATTTATTTATTTGTTTGTCTATTTATTTGCTTATTTAGTTGTTTATTTATTTGTTTGTTTATTTGTCTATTTGGTTTGCCTGTTTTGCTTCGTTTATTTGTTTTATTTTACTTGGTTTTGTTTTGTTTTATTCTGATTTATTTTATTTTCTTAACTTAATTCATTTTGTTTTTTTCATTTTATTTTGTTTGGGGCTCCTGCTCGTTCTTTTCCCCTTCCAGTTTTCTATTTTTCTCTTTCTTTATTTGTTTTTTCATTCATTTTTTAATTTTTTTTAATTTTTAGTTTTCCTTATTTCTTCTTTTGTCCTTTTTTGTCTCCTTTTTGTTTCCTTTTTATCTCCTGTTTGTCTCCTTTTTGTCTCCTCTTTATCTCAGTTTATCCTTTTTATCTTTCTCATCTTTATCTTTTTATCTTTTTGTCTTCTTTATCTTTTTATCTTCTTTATCTTTTTAGTTTGTTTTAATCTCTTTAAATTCCTTTTGTCTCTTTTCGTTTCTTTTAATCTTTTTTAATTTCTTTTTCTTTCTTCTTATCTCTTTTTTTTCTCTTTTAATCTCTTTAAATCCCTTTAAATCCCTTTAATTTAATTTACTTAATTTATTTAACTTAATTTAATTAATTTAATTAATTCAATTAATTTAATTTATTTAATTTATTTATTTTTGCAAAGTGTCTCCTTTTATTTGCAGGCATTAATTACCTCCATCCCGAACTGTCTCTTTCGATGTGGGTAAACCGCAAAGAGCTTCACGGCGAAGTCAGTTTTATTTTAATTAATTTATTTAATTAAATTAATTAAATTAATTAAATTAATTTAATTAATTTAGTTAATTTAGTTAATTTAATTAATTTAATTAATTTAATTAATTTAATTAAATTAAATTAATTTAATTAATTGAATTGAATTTAATTGAAGTTAATTAATTCAATTTAGTTTAATTAATTTAATTAATTTAATTTGATTGGTTTAATCGAATTGATTTAATCCAATTCAATTACTGTCATTTTAAATGATTCAGTTTTAATTGGCCTGTTCATTTAATTCAATTTAAGCATTTTATTAATCATCTAAATTGATTCAATTATTTCGATTAATGCAATTAATTCAATCAATTCAATTATTTTAATTATTTTAATCATTTTAATTATTTCAAATACCCATTTAAAGTTCACTTTTAAAGTTTAAAAGATTTCTTTTTTGCTTCATTAAGTGTCTCCTTTTGAAGTTTAAAATAATTTTTTTTGCTTCATTAAATGTCTCTTCTTGAAGTTTAAAGTGCCCCTTTTATTTTTCGATTAAGTGTCTCCTTTTGGAGTTTAAAATTTATTGTTTTTAGTCATTAAGTGTCTCCTTTTGCCTTCATCAAATGTCTCTTTTTGCAAATTTAACTATTCCCATTTGTCCTCCAAAAGTGTCTCCTTTTATCTCCAAAAGTGTCTCCTTTTATCTCCAAAAGTGTCCCCTTTTATCTCCAAAACTGTCTCCTTCTGTCTCCAAAAGTGTCTCCTTTTGTCTCCAAAACTATCTCCATTTATCTCCAAAAGTGTCTCCTTTTGTCTCCAAAAGTGTCTCCTTTTTATTTAAAATACATCTTTTTTCTTTTTCCAAATTATCATTTTTAGGGAGGAGTTGACAACGAGAGGCCGAATGTCTCTTTTTCTTCTAAAAAATAATGTTCTCTCCTTTTAAAAACTGTCTCCCTTTAAATCCAAAAGTGTCTCCTTTAATATCCAAAAGTGTCTCCTTTTAATTCAAATTGTCTCTCTTGTTGCTTAAAATACATCTTTTTCCTTTTTCAAAAATTATGTATTTTAGGAAGTAGTTGACGACGACGAGAACGAATTAAGTGTCTCTTTTCCTCCTAAAAGCACATTGCTGTTTCCTTTTAAAAACTGTCTCCTTCTACATCCAAAAGTGTCTCCTTTGGTCTCTAAAAGTGTCTCTTTTCCCTTCAAATTGTCTCTTTTTTTAATTCAAAATATATCTTTTTTTCCCAAAAATTGTATTTTTTGGGAAGGAGTTGACGCCGAAGAGAACGAATTTGCTGTCTCTTTTTCTTCTGAAAACGTATTTCTTTTTCCTTTTAAAAACTGTCTCCTCTTACGTTTAAAACTGTCTCCTTCCACCTCCAAAAGTGTCTCCTTTTCCTTCAAACTGTCTCCTTTTCATTTAAATATTTTTAAATTTTATTTTTTCAGGAAGGAGTTGACGACGACGGGAACGGCTTCGTCGACGACCTCTTTGGCTGGAACTTCATTCAGGACAACAACAACCCCATGGACGACAACGGCCACGGCTCTCACGTCGCAGGTAAAGACTTTTTGGAGCCTTTTTGAGAGATTTGAAGACCTTTTTGCGTGTTTTTAAAAGATATTTAAAAGGGGATTCGGAAGATAGTTTTAGGAGCAGAAAAAAGCAGTTAAAAGCACTTCAAAACAAAGGTTTTAGAAGCTTTTAGAAGTTCAAAACCCCGTGAACGGCAACCGCCACGGCTCTCACGGCGCAGGTAAAACAGCCTTTCTGGAGGCTTTTTTAAAGTTTTAAAGACCTTTTTGCATGTTTTTAAAAGGAGTTTAAAAGAGGATTCAGAAAATAGTTTTAAAAGAAGAAAAAAGCAATTCAAAAGAGCGTTTTTACGGGTTTTCGGAAGTTTTCCACCCATGGACGACACCGGCCATGGCGCTCATGTAGCACGTATGAATCAGCCCTTTTGGAGGCTTTTTGAGAGTTTTAAAGATTCTTTTGCATGCTTTTAAAAGGATTTTCAAAGGGGATTTAAACAGTGGTTTTAAAAGCGGATAAAAGCAGTTGAAAACACATCAAAAGAGGGTTTTAAGGGGTTTTTAGAAGCTTTGACGCCCATGGATGATAGTGGCCACGGCTCTCACATAGCAGGCATCAATGGAGACATTTTAAAGGCTTTTTGAGAGATTTGAAGACCTTTTTGAATGGTTTCAAGAGGATTTTAAAAGAGGATTTAAACAATAGTTTTAAAAGCAGAAAAAAGCAGTTGAAAACACTTCAAAAAAGGGTTTTAGAGGCGTTTAGGAGTTTTTAATCCCGTGGATAATAGTGCGCATGGCTCTGGTGTAGCAGGTATAAAGGGGAATTTTTTGAGACTTCTTGAAGAGTGTAAAAGTCTTTTCGGAGATAATTGAAAGGGTTTTAAACGAGGGTTTAGGAAATGTTTAGGAAATAGTTTTTAAATTGGAAAAAAGCAATTTAAAACACTCCAAAAAAGGGTTTCTGGAGGCTTTGGAGGTTTTCAATCCCTTAGATAATAGTGAACATAGCTCGGATTTGGCAGAGACTTTTGGGGATCTTGGGAAAACTTTTTGGGAGTTTTAAAAAACTTCTTGGGAGTTTTGAAAGCCCCCTTTTGGGGTTTTAAAAAGATAATTAAAAGTGTTTAAAAGGGTTTAAAGAAAGGGTTTAGAAAATAGTTTCTAAATCCGAAAAAAACAACTGGACACACTTCAATTGAGCGTTTTTAAAGGCTTTTCAGTTTCTTTGGAGACAATTTAGAGACGCTTTTAGAGACACTTTTGGAAATATTTTAAAGCCATTTTTGAGGTATTTTAAGGACATTTAGAAGATAATTTGAAGACATTTTGAAGATATTTTAAAGACATTTAGAAGATAATAAAAAGACATTTTAAAGACACTTTAAAGACATTTTAAAGACATTTTTGAGATATTTTGAAGACATTTTGAAGATATTTCAGAGACATTTTGGAGACATTTTAAAGACATTTTGAAGCTATTTAAGAGACATTTAATTGACATTTTGGAGACAGTTTAGAACTATTTAAAAGATATTAAAAAGGTATCTTGAAGATATTAGAATGATATTTTTAAGATATTAAAAAAGACATTTTAGAAATAATTAAAAGACATTTAAAAGATATTAAAAGGATATTTAAAATAAATTTTTTGAACTATTCAAAAGATATTCAAAAGATATTTAAAAATATACTTTAGAAATATTAAAAAGCTATTAAAAAGGTGTTTATAAAGATATTTAAAAATTAATTCTGGGGAAATTTCGGAGACTTTTAAGAGACACTTGAAAGGCCTAGTTTATTAACAATTAATTAATTTATTACTATTTAATTACTTAAATAACAAATTAACTAATTAATTAATTTTATTATAAGTAGCTAATTAGTGAATTAGCTTAAAAATGGATTAATTATATTTTCTTTATTTTCAGAATTTTCTTTTTTATTTTTGCTTTTATTTCCTATTTTCATTCTTTGTCTCCTTTTGTTTTGTTTTTTCTTTAATTTCAATTTTGAAAATTTTTTTCTTTTTTATTTCTTTAAATTTTTTTATTTTCATTTTTTTATTTCATCTCCAAACTTCCCCTTTTCTCCCTTTCCACTTCACCCCCAATTCCGCCCACACCCCCCAAACCCCAAACCCTAAACCCTAAACCCTAAACCCTGAAAGCTAAACCCTAAGAGCTGCCAAAACCCTCAAAAAACGCCCAGAGGCTCCAAAAAAGCCGGGGAATAATACAAAAGACATTTTACAAACACAGGACTCTTTGGCGAGGGTTTTTGGAAAAGTGTTTTTGGCAAACCTCAGGAATTGTGGCGGCGCTGCAAAACAACGGAGAAGGCATAAGCGGAATTAGTGAAAGAGCCAAAGTGATGGCGCTGAAGATTCTGGACCAAAAAGGAGAAGGAGATGTCTCGCATGCAATCCCAGCGATTCAGTACGCAGTGGACAACGGAGCCAAAGTGCTCACCAACTCGTGGGGAGGCGTTAGCGGTACTAAACCCTAAACCCTAAACCCTAAACCCTAAACCCTAAACCCTAGGCGTAGGAGCAGCGCGTAGACGTCTCGCATGCAATCCCAGCGATTCAGTACGCAGTGGACAACGGAGCCAAAGTGCTCACCAACTCGTGGGGAGGCGTTAGCGGTACTAAACCCTAAACCCTAAACCCTAAACCCTAAACCCTAAACCGTAGGCGTAGGAGCAGCGCGTAGACGTCTCGCATGCAATCCCAGCGATTCAGTACGCAGTGGACAACGGAGCCAAAGTGCTCACCAACTCGTGGGGAGGCGTTAGCGGTACTAAACCCTAAACCCTAAACCCTAAACCCTAAACCCTAAACCCTAGGCGTAGGAGCAGCGCGTAGACGTCTCGCATGCAATCCCAGCGATTCAGTACGCAGTGGACAACGGAGCCAAAGTGCTCCCCAACTCGTGGGGAGGCGTTAGCGGGACTAAACCCTAAACCCTAAACCCTAAACGCTAAACCCTAAACCGTAGGCGTAGGAGCAGCGCGTAGACGTCTCGCATGCAATCCCAGCGATTCAGTACGCAGTGGACGACGGAGCCAAAGTGCTCCCCAACTCGTGGGGAGGCGTTAGCGGTACTAAACCCTAAACCCTAAACCCTAAACCCTAAACCCTAAACCGTAGGCGTAGGAGCAGCGCGTAGACGTCTCGCATGCAATCCCAGCGATTCAGTACGCAGTGGACAACGGAGCCAAAGTGCTCACCAACTCGTGGGGAGGCGTTAGCGGTACTAAACCCTAAACCCTAAACCCTAAACCCTAAACCCTAAACCGTAGGCGTAGGAGCAGCGCGTAGACGTCTCGCATGCAATCCCAGCGATTCAGTACGCAGTGGACAACGGAGCCAAAGTGCTCACCAACTCGTGGGGAGGCGTTAGCGGTACTAAACCCTAAACCCTAAACCCTAAACCCTAAACCCTAAACCCTAGGCGTAGGAGCAGCGCGTAGACGTCTCGCATGCAATCCCAGCGATTCAGTACGCAGTGGACAACGGAGCCAAAGTGCTCCCCAACTCGTGGGGAGGCGTTAGCGGCCCTAAACCCTAAACCCTAAACCCTAAACCCTAAACCCTAAACCCTAGGCGTAGGAGCAGCGCGTAGACGTCTCGCATGCAATCCCAGCGATTCAGTACGCAGTGGACAACGGAGCCAAAGTGCTCCCCAACTCGTGGGGAGGCGTTAGCGGTACTAAACCCTAAACCCTAAACC